TTGGAATGCTGGCCCATGGACGCACGAGTAAGGCAAACATCAAAGAGACCGCCAGTCATACAAATATCCATCTCAACAAATTGTTGCTTCCCCTTTTTAAAGTCAGCTGATGTCTGCGATTGGAAACGACGTAATGGGTTGTGGTGTTTACCCAATGGTGCTTATAAAGCAGCATTCGAGTCGATTCGCCAAGCTATAAGTCTCAATATCTGCGCTTTTACGCTGTGCACACAATCCAATAGCAGCACAACTTTAAACAAATTCATTCATCATTTGATAAGGGGTTGAAGAGTACCTCAACACTACCAGCTCAGAGCTCTCTCACACCCCCTGGGAAAGCAAGAACTATGTCATATTGACAGTAGGGCGATGACCCAAGAGGGAACACGATTCGGCTGTGCAAGCACTGATGTTCGTTCGTGCTCATCACTCTTGGTGGCAACACGATGCGGTGGGCATTGTTCAAGCTTTCGCAAGTCCTTATTTGCATTATTTCCATTGCTAGTTCTCTGCTGATGCAAACCAGGTAGTTGAAAAAATATTGCCGACGTGACGACTGCAACGCATCCAATGCCAATGATGACTTCCAACACACGATGATGTTTTGGAACAAATCTGTGCAGCTTTTTATCATGATCCCCAGATCTCCCGTGCATGGCTTTATTGTAGCTCTTAGACATTGGTTCGACTATCGGCCTTGTTCAAAGGTCAACGACTACTTCATTCCATCCATTACATCCTTGCCACGATTTGAACACTAAGTCACATGACCTCTGAAATGCTTACGGACACTCTCAGTCTTTTTCAGTACTGTGACGTTTTATTTTTCCGGTGGCCTGTGATGCATGCGATGATTTTAGCCATTCTTTGGTAGGGGGACTTTGGTCGATAATCTTCAAGCGCCAAAATTATTTTACTTATTTGCTTGGTTGGACATTTCTTTTTCCGTGCTCTCCTATTCCATTCACCCGTCAGTCTACAGTTTTACAATTCTAACTCTGCGTCCACTTGTGCCAGCAAAGCACAAATTAGATGGATGTGTCCACAGAATGCATGGTCATGACTAATATGTCTGATGATTTTTTTAGAAGACAACAACGTGTATTTATGCAGACGCGGACAAAGATGGATCATGAATATCTACCCTGCCTCCTACTTGCCACCTAAACAGTTGGCACTGATCTTAGGAGAGCAAAGGTATTGCAAAATTGAATGTGAGCTGAGCAGGGCGCATACGGCCGAGGGCGCAAATTTTATCAAAACAATTGCTTGCGAGACAATTGCGATCGTTTGAAACGATTAGCGTGTTGAGCACTGCAGCTATTTTCTATAGCTGTAGGTAGCTTTGCATGCATAAAATTAGTGTCATGCCATTCTGCATAGCTTTAGTGGAGGTGTAGAATGTGTCATCCTCCCCACTGAGAGCGTGGAACAATATAAGGGCCGCTGACTTTGCTACCACTTCTTATCCCTTCGAGTTAAGGCTAATAATGGCGTCTTTTGCTTTCGTCACGCGACTCGACAACATTATTGCTTGTTGCTCACAGATATGAACTGTCAAGTGCAAGTGCCAGGTCAGACTAGGCACTTATCGTAGGAGCCAGCATAGCTTCATTAGAATGGTACGATGTAGGAGTGCCTTGCAATCTCCTCCTAACCGAGATGGAGCATCAGCATGGATTTGCTTCAGCGCAGCTTAACTGGAAAGCAGAATTGGTAATGGAGCGAACAATTTAATTCGCTCTTATCGTTGAGCACGCTTCTTAGAGCGAAATCCAAAACGTCCTCACTTTAATCGCTGAAAACACAGTTTCGAGTGGAGACGCTTGCTCAAACAATCCGCCCTTGGATTGAGCTTGCAGTGCCTACGGTATACGCCACTTGCGGATTATGCATAAGCTCTGCAATGGTAGCAGTCAAAATGAGTGCCCGCAAAACAAAACCGCATTCGAGAAACCCACACTTCTGCAACTTACTTATTTGTGTTTTGCTGAGTTCAGAGGTGGCACCACTAAAGGATGACATCTCATAGGTCATAAACACCAAGTCTAGGGAATCCACATTACCGAGTCACTGTGATGGCCCAATCTGGTGTTGTCAGCACGAATGTAAGGCTGTGGATAAGAGCATAGTTCCTGATTCACAATACTTCGGTGTCTGACGTCACTGTCTTATCACACCTCGCAGAATGAGTCAACGAATGACCTACACAAATGGCGATATGCTCTACTGGTATTTATTTGTTGTTTGTTTGATGAACACATGATCATCTAAAGTATGAATTCTCGGTTGTCATTCTTCCCTGTGCATTTGCAGGGAGCTGGGGAAAGGTGGATACTTGCAAGAGACTGTTTGGGCTGTTTGTTATGAGGCTATAAGTTGCATCTTTGTACTGATACTTGGTTCCGTTAATGGCGGTGAAAATGGAGTGCGGCGACTTCATTTCTTAGTGAGTGATTTGTCGCCAATTTTGAATAGCAGTGGTGGTGTCCATCCAGCATTGCCCCACAAATTCATTGACAGAATGCGGCACTCAAAAGCAACGGAAGCAGGTGTTTTCTCACCTGAGTCAATGGTGGAACAATATTTGCTGGCTTTTACTATAGTCGGTCGATCTTAGTGTTAGTTACTTGAACGACTAATGGGAGGTAGCGAGAGATAATGTCACATAAAAGCTGTTATTTACTGGCGACTTATTTAACATTCACCAAATTATGAGCACCTCTGCACTAACAACTACTAGCAGATTCCATTTCGGTTTTCTTCTCATTTTTCACCATTATTTGCTAAATTATTTAGTACAGGCGTTAAGATTAGTGGTGACGCCCTTGGGTCTCAAACACGGTGTTCATTTATGTATAGTCTTTTACTTACAAGTGCCTCCTACCTGTGCTAATTTTCGCAGTGAGTGGTATTTTTCACTGCAATGAGGGACGATTTCGGATTCTGAGTAGTAACGTAGTTTGAGAGGATTCGAGGTTGCCCAGTGCCTCGTGGTCACGCCTTGGCACCATGACAATTGTGCGGATGGAATTTTCGGGCACGTGCTTATTTTTGCGCCTTTCCTTACCGGATTGACAAGGCAGCGTTGTGGAAGCAGAACCGCTAAGGAAAGTGTTTAGCGCAGTGCACGTTTTGCAGATTATTGGCGTGTAGTGAAGCACTCGCAGATGCCAGAAGTATCACATCGCCTGAACAGTGTTAGGCGAGTCAATTTGTGGCAGTGGCATTTCTCTTCAAGCCCCAACGCCTTGAGTTGTAAAGACTGTGCCACTGAAGTAGTAGATTGTTGGAATGTGGCGTAGCTTCACGTCACCAGGACGTTGAGGTGGTTTCACTTCTAGTTTCAACGCCATGCTCTTAGGAGTTCTGCGATGAGATCAGGAAAGCTGTTGCATATAACTCAAACTCTTTATGATGTTAATGCCATTTCCATCAAATGGAATTTCACATTGTGGATGAGCCTTGAGCCAAAGCAGTCGACAGTAGCGAATGGGATTTTTGCATAATTGTTAGGTTTTGTTTTCATTGATTGAAGGCGATTGTGAATTTTGGAGTCTTAGCAGAAGCTATTGCTTATGGCAGATAAAACGTGCGTTTTTCGTAAAATGAACGCTGCAGTAATCGTTTTAGCGAATGACATTGTGCAACATTGAGAAGTTGGAAGTTAGTATAATTGAAATGAGCGAGTTGAACCGTGGTACTTTGATTGGGTTAAATTCGTGGTCGTCATTTTCTTGAGAATGAAATTTCGCCTTATTGATAACAAGTTATCCAAACTAATCGTCAATAGATGGGCTGGATGCAGACCGACACAGGAGGACCTCTTCTGGTTTGGGTGGACAGATAAGCCAGTGGTTCTCTCACGCTTCACTACTGCTTCTCTACTCTGAGCTTAATCTCAATCACCATTGAATCAAAGTACAATGCCAGCAGACTCTCTATTCCACTTTGATAGGCACAAGGCATTGAAGATGACCAGCCACCGAAGTACCCCACCTGCTGACAAGAACAGTTATAATAGTGGAGCTTCTCCCTACGTTCTCCATCTTTCTCATTTAACGAAGATATCAGCACATTTGTCCCACCCACATTCACCACCGCATGAACGAAAGCCACGTGCAAAAGTCTCATCCACATAAATCCATCGTTGACATTCCTTCTAATTTAGAAGTTGTTTGATTCAGTAAAAATATGTGGCCGAAATGAGCTGTCGAACTGTCACATTTGAACGGAGAACGATAACTTTATCAGTTATGCCTTCGTTGCAACCAATCCTCTTTAGAATTTTCGTTATTCCAAGATCAGCTCGCAACGCTACTGATACTCTCCATTACAATAAGAATCTGATTATGCGTACATCGAAGGCGCCAGTCATCCCAGTGGTCACAAAGCATGCGTCTTCAGCGGAGATAACTGCAGGCAAGCAAAGCAAAAGGTAAGCATTCAAAAAGCGTGGCGTTCTATTGTGAGGTAAAGATGCAGGAAGTTTTCTTTGATAATACAGGCAGTGAGATGCGATGTGATGCGATGCAATATTAGGGTGCCACAGTCAACTCATTGTTGAGCACATCGAAAGACAGTCGAAAGCTAGGAACGTGGCAAGAGCAGTAATTGCTTGACGCATGATTTGCATAACTTTGAAGGCATTGTCGCCAATTGTTCAAACTTCGTCAAGTTTCACATCTTTGTCCTCTTCCTCACCATCGAGTAGTTCAGTCGTGTCAGATAAGTCTGTTTCTGTTCCTTCTGCAGCCTGGTCGATTTCCGCATCTGGAGTGAGGGCAGAGTAGGAGGCAAAGGCGAAGGGAAGGAAGAGGTAGGTAAACGTCGGTAAGGATTTCATGCTGTTTAAATGCGGAGCTAATTACGGTTGCAGGAAGAACACCTACCTCACCAATAACGCGGCCTTTTATAGGTGGCTAACTAGGACTGTTTATCATTTGACATCGGTGTTGAGTTCTTCAACAAGGGGCATACCGCCCACCTGATCATGCTGCAATACCAATTAAAAATTAAACTTAAATCTGGAATACCTACAAACAGTAGAACTTGGCCTCTTTCGTCCGATTACCCACATTGACTCGACACGTCATCGATTTCCTAGAAATTCCACAGAGCATGACTTTGTGTGTCTTGGCGCTGGTGCCACTGATGAGGCTGTGGGTTTGGGTGCAATCTTCTCTGCTGTACTATCCCTGATGAGTTTGCCATGATGATGATGAATGCTTACTTGTCTTACTTGATTTTGTGCGTTGGCACTGAGTAGCTGACAGTAATGCTGTCATAGCGCTGCCTCGACCGGTGCTAGTGCTATCTAGGTAATGTGAATCTGCCCATCTGCTCAGGATTGAGGCCACTCGATTGTTTTGCTGTAAATCTTCGTCATCTTCGTCTTCTTCTTGGTGACGTACATGGCAGACAGCTGACCAACTTTTCTCCGACACCCGCTTTTCCGTAATCGTGCCACCAGCTAAATTGTAGGGCAGTGATACCGTGTCCTTCAATATGTGCCTACATTTTGTAGTAGGTAATGGAGCGTTTAGCAAAGTCCGAAGGCGTTATGGAAGCAGTTGATGGTGGAATGAAAGGATGAAGGTGACATTACGTTAAGGGGATGTGACACGCCAGGCGACGACTGCTGCTGTAGTTGATGCGATCGAGTGCGTGGAAATGCTCTCCTTGCCCTCAGATCGGGGTTCCATTACGCCTTCTAATTCTTAAATTATATTGGCATCTGGTTAACTGTGCTACTGTGCATGAAGAAAGCATATTTCACGTAATCCAATCATGTTGCGATAGCCCGCACATTGTTAGGCTTAGGGTTAGAGTGAAGCTCATTTGGCCACTCAATACGCCTTGTGCCATGGCCGTAGGTGTCGCAAGTCCTCTTCATTAAAGTAGATGCCATTCCCGTGGGATGAAATAACGGCTCTACAGTCGCTGTTTTCATAACCTAATGATGCTAATCCCATAACAAAGTGAGTGGAAGTACTTCTAAATTGCATTAAAGCACTTACAAATAAGTCACCAAGGCAAAGCACAAGTAGTGTGAAATTTTGATGCAGAAGCGCGAGAATGGTGGCGCTAAACTGAACTCGTCTCCTCTTAACCCAACTTTGCTACCAACGATCCCAGTTGGTGCTCAGCCGCGTCTTTTGTGCACGTGCCCCATTTATTCCATTTCAGCATACAATTTTACCTAGTCCTTTTTAATCCAACCTATCTTAAGCAAAAGAAGGCGTCTTCGGTTCTTTATCGATGAGAGGAGAGAATCCTAAAGTAAATTGTGAAAGCAACCTCTGACAGTCAGCAAGGGTCAAGTCACCCAAAATTGCGGTCTCTTTGGGCATATTTCCAATTATATTTGTTTAGTACCTCAATTGGTAAGTCTGAGTTACTGATGGTCAATAGGTTTTAATTTCAAACAATTGGTGGTCTGTTTTCCATGAGGTTTGTGAGGCGATCACCATATTTATTTAATCAATGCCAAACAAATACCGCCTTCCACTTTCTCTGATAGTAGGTGTCAACGAAGCTGACAATATCAATAAGCCGATGCATTAGGATTCAGCACGGGTGTGCAGTTCCAAGGGATAAAGCGA